AAAGTTTTCTGAAGGTTCCAAAGCAAAATCACAGAGCAACGTTGCATCTCTTCCTCCACTTCTTTTCTTAATAATAATTACTATATTAATAATCACAATATAGCTGTTTTTTATTTGATCTTTGTTATTATAAATAAGAACAGATGCAAAAAAAAAAAAAGCAGTAGAACAAATATAAGAAAGAAACAAATAATGCATTACCTTTTTCATTTTACATCTTAAAAGCATTCAAGAAAAACAAAATAATAAAATGTAAAAATTCCACCTTCGTTCATCTTCAGAACACAAAGAAAGATATTTCTGATGAAATCCCAGAGCTCTCTGACCCTGCAGAGACAGCAACAGAACTGACACGGTCAAGGCACAGAAAGGCAGTGAGCAGACTGACACGGAAGAGAAGAAACTGTTGAATAAAGTCGTTATTTTTGTTTTCTTTGCACACAAAAAGTATTCTCGTATTTTCATACCATTACGGTTAAGCTACTGATGTCACATGGACTATTTTAACGATGTCCTGTGCTGGCAAAATTAGTCACAATGAGCAATTTTTCAAAAATGAGTTATTTTCATTTTCACATTCAGATTAACAGATCTTCAGAATGATGTATGATTTGTTGGAATCGGATGAAAAATTACTCCGTTTTGAGAAAAATGGAGTTTAAAAAGTTTTCTGAAGGTTCCAAAGCAAAATCACAGAGCAACGTTGCATCTCTTCCTCCACTTCTTTTCTTAATAATAATTACTATATTAATAATCACAATATAGCTGTTTTTTATTTGATCTTTGTTATTATAAATAAGAACAGATGCAAAAAAAAAAAAAGCAGTAGAACAAATATAAGCATTACCCTTTTTCATTTTACATCTAAAAGCATTCAAGAAAAACAAAATAATCAAATGTAAAAATTCCTTTACTGTGTTTATTACAAATAAACTGATTATTAAAACTACAAAAGCAGTTAAATCAAGAGCAGCGAGTGATTATTTTATTGTTAGATTAGCATTAATGAGGCAGACCCACTGTAATGCACGGATCTAATATAATGTTACACATCAGATGTTTTTCCCCTAACGTTCACTTTAGACACAACAGATTATGTTTGTGTGAATACTGTGTATATTTATCGGGATCACGTGCTTCGGATGACAGTCAGCGTGAGGAGCGAAGAAAAGGTACTCCTTTCAGAAAACGTACAAATAAAGGTCATTTTAGATGTTTGATTACTATTTGGAGCATTGGGATCGCTAGACGAGGACTTAATGAACTCATTTTTGTGAAAACCTCAAATCTGATAAAATTTTTCACTTTTTTTTTGCCTGTAGCTCAAAATGACCCGGTCACATTCGGACTCATGTTGCCAGCACGGCTCACATATCTACATTTGTGTTCTGAAGATGAACGAAGGTCTTACGAGTTTGAATGACATGAGGGCGAGTAATTCATGACAGAACTTTCATTTTTGGGTGAACTATCCCTTTAATGTCGAGTGTAGGGCTGCACAGTTACTCAAACTAAAACTGAAATCATTGATTGAGCGTTTCAGAGCGACTCGGTTCACAGTAAATGCTTCACATGAACTGCTCTGAGCTCGAGTCGCTTTAACATGCATTTGAGAACACAGCATGAACCAAACATCTTCACAAACGTGTGATCAGAAACGTTTATCAATTAAAGAGAAGCTTTAGGGGCTTCCTGCAAACTTTATTTAAGCCCTTAAGGCTTCTCAATATTAGTGTTATATTTTCAAACTCGTAATGTAAAATAATTTCTTTTCTTAAATACTCATTTTTCTTATCTTATTTTACAGTGAAATATTTTGAATATTAGTAATATTTTGTTTCTGTGTAGTAATTTGTATGTTTTATTTAGTAGTAATAATAATGATGATGATTTTTATGTATTATTATTACTACTATAATTTTAAAGCCATATTGATAAGTGATCAGAAATTTTGGTGAAATCCTCAGGTTTCTGGCCTGAGACGGTTTATGGGTAAACAGCAGAAGAACTAGCGATAAGAGTAAACGTGGTAAAGCTTGTGCTGTTCCTGTGGATTTTACCGTAGTACATGTCTGTCCTCTCTCTCTCTCTCTCTCTCTCTCTCGCACGCCTCACACATTAACCCCTGATGGGATGTTTGTGATCGCTTTACTAATGTTCCTCAGCACAATAACAGACTCTTCTGCTCTCCTAATGTCTTCTTTCACTCCGTCTTTCCTCGCTCACGGATTTCTGTAGTCTTCTGGAAATGTCTGGCTCACACACGAGGAGATGGAGAGTTTGGCCGCCACGCCGCTCACGGTCAGTCACTGTCAGCGTCACGCTAATGCTAACGCTAATGCGTGTTTGTGCTTCGCTGCTCGCTGTGATCGCCTGCATGCAGCGCTGATGATTAACTGTGTCACGTTATGTTTCTGTTCCACTACTGACTCCCCTCTCGCTCCACATGCTAACCTGCTAACACCAGGAGGATGAGGAGGGCAGCTGGGCCCAGGTTTGAACCTCAGTCTTTCTCTTTTATCTGTGTTTGAGGACATGAATCGTGAAACTCGTTCAGGTCACGTTTCACTTCACCATCAGACCAAAACAACTCAGAAGTATTTAGTTTTGGGCAAATGCAGCCCGTTCAGATGTTTAGCAGGAAACCCAGTTGTTTTTGAGTCTGAGATGTGACCTGGATGTGCTTTTGACTGGTTTCGTGAGATTCGCTGCAGTTCTTCATCATGTTAGGCAACATCTGCTGGTCTTTATCTTTGAAATCCATGTGTTTCTGGATCACACTGACGATGGTTTTATCTCAAGACAGGAGGATGTTTCTCTAATCTAATGTGGTTATGATCAATCTGAGTGTATGTTGTTGTTGTTGTTGTATAGTGTTATGTTTTTAGGTGAGTAGTGTTCTGACTGAATGTGTGTTGTTCACACTCAGACTCTGGCGTATGGTGACATGAACCACGAGTGGATCGGTAACGACTGGCTGCCGAGCCTCGGTCTGCCTCAGTACCGCAGCTACTTCATGGAGTCTCTGGTGGACGCTCGTATGCTGGATCATCTGACCAAAAAAGACCTGCGCAGTCAGCTCAAAATGGTGGACAGCTTCCACAGGTCAGTCCTGAGCACCAAAACACCGCCTGGTTTCCCACAGTCTGGCCTCCAGAAGTACTTTCCCCATCGATTACTATTTTAAATTGAGTTTAAGCCCTGAACTGAACAGCCAGCCTGTTTATTTTGTAGGTACAAGGTGTGTACGTAATGTACATCGAGTACTTTCACGCCTCGTCCAGAACACGGAGATCAGGTGTGAACAGAACCTGAAATACAGCTAAATCACTTCTGGCAGTTTTCCCTGGATGGGAGGTTGCAGCGTTACCGGTTAATAACCGTTTCGATATTATGAGAGAACAAGGCTAGGATTGCCAGTGCGAGGTGTGGAGGTGTTAACATGAGACGTCTGCGATGAGCCAATCGCTGTTTACAGTAACGCCTGTCACAAATCATGCTGTCAAATTGAACAGATTATGAATTCTGGGCGGATGAAGGTCAGATCAGTGACATTGCAGAGTTTACCGGAGTTTGAGAGCTGAAGTTAACCGAAAAGTCAATTCAGAAATCTTATGGTCATTTTTAATGAGTTTAATGTGTGAAAGAAACTATAACTGAATCCAAATCAGCAGTGCAGTTATATTAAACACCATGTTTTAACTGCATGAAAATAGTTTGTGAATATCAGGAAACCGACTCATTACAACCTCTGCAGTGCTTCATGGGAGAGAGTGGTTTCTGTCTGTGTGAGTGTTTGTGTGTGTGTGAGTGTGTGTGAGAGAGAGTGTGTGTGTGTGTGTGGCTGTTGTTGCAAAGATAATCAGTTTCTCTATCTAGAAGAGCAGTGATGTTTGGCTGCTGAACCCTGCTGCTGGTGCTCTCTCTCGCTCTGCAGGAACAGTTTTCAGTGTGGCGTGATGTGTTTGAGACGACTGAACTATGACAGGAAAGAGCTGGAGCGGAGGCGTGAGTCCCAGGTGGAGGTCAAAGGTGAGCGTGCTGGTCTGCGTCTCTGTGTTGTGTGTGAGTGTGTGCTGACGCTGCTGCTGCTGCAGATGTGCTGGTGTGGACGAACGAGCGCGTGCTCAGCTGGATCCAGGCCATCGGGCTGAAGGAGTATGCTGGGAATCTTCTGGAGAGCGGCGTTCACGGAGCGCTCCTCGCTTTAGACGAGTCGTTCGACCACAACGCCTTGGCGCTGCTGCTGCAGATCCCTACACAGTGCACACAGGTGAGACGCACACACATAACGGCATACTATTTAAAACATTTAATCTGGATCCGGATGGGGTGGGCGACGTGGCAAAAATATCACATCACGATTTTATCACGATTCTGTCATGTCGGTTTTACTATTTTGCAAGTTGTCTGAGCAGCACAGCCAAACTAATTTCCCTGTTTTAAAAACAAAGCCTTACAAGGTAACAAAATATAAACAGACATTTAGGTCAAAATAGGCGAAGATAAAAATCTTTGTGCTTATTTTTTAATAACAAAGATAAAATAATGACAGATACACATTACAAATACACATAATATACAAATAAAACAAGCTTTATTTTTCAGGTACAGTAGGTGTATCTAGCAGTAGCACTCAAGAAACTGAATGAACAAATATCAAAATAAAGCACTAAATAATAAAATAAAACACTTTACTCACTCTCAATCTCAAGCTGTTTTAAACCTGAATGAGTTTTTCTTCTGTTGAGCAGAAGTTGTTTTGAAGAGTGTGGGAACAAACAGCTGCTGGTCTCCAGTGACTTCCACACTGGTTTTTCTTACTATCAAAGTCAGTGGAGATCATCAACTGTTGGGTTATCCACGTTCTTCAAAATATCTTCTTTTGTGTTCAGCACAAGAAAGAAATTACCGTATTGGCCCGAATATAAGACGACCCTGATTATAAGACAACCCCCCTTTTTCCAGATGTACCTTTTGGAAAAAGGCTTTTTAAAAACCAAATCTTGTTTTTTCTCAGTAAAACACATTTTGTCTTCAATTATTTTCATATTGCATATTTTTCCTATGTGAACACACACACACACTGTCAGTGAGAGAAATTTAGTCTCTCATTTGCACGTTTCTCAGACCATTAATCCACTGTAATCTCTCATTTCATTTAAGATGATTGTCATGCGCTCTTGAATACAGGGTGGTCTCTTAGCTCTGTCGTCATTCATGACAATGGCTGCACATCTGCGCTGAGCAAACATGAGTTACGAGCAGATTACAATCCCTATTCAAACCCTGCGTAATCTTGGGTAATCAGCATCAGCCTACTGTGCAGTCCACCCATGTACCATAAAGCATATCATTAAGGTTTAGGGTTTATGGCTCGGTGCTTGTTCAGAGGATGACCTATTGACAAACAGACAGATTGCATGGCAACTACATCACCTCAATGTCATTTCCTGTCCCTGTGCAGAAGGGGTTTACTGTCTCGCAGGTTTAGCAACAGCACACTTTTTTAAGGAAGGCAAACACCTCAAAAATAAAACGAATACATTTAAAAAATGAAAATGTATTTTCAATTATTAATTATCAAATTCATTTATCTTTATAATAATGGTCCTTAACATAGGCTTCATTTTTGTTCTTTTGTTCTTCTTCTTCTTCTTTTTTTTTTGAGATTTTAATGACAATTTCATCTGCATTTCACATGACTGTGATTCAAAAATAGACATTAAAATTAAATAAATAAAATGTAGTACCGTATTGGCCCGAATATAAGATGACCCTGATTATAAGACGACCCCCCCTTTTTCCAGATGTACCTTTTGGAAAAAGGCTTTTTAAAAACCAAATTTTTTTTTTCTCAGTAAAACACATTTTGTCTTCAATTATTTTCATATTGCATATTTTTCCTATTTTAATTTTTGTTTTGAAAGTATGGTAAAAACTGGTAAAATGTACCAACAATCACATTTAAAAAATATACACTTTTTGATATACCATAAAAAAAAATAAAAAAAACTGGTAGCCCATCTGAATTAGGACATTTAGGCTATCCATCTAATAGTAGCCTACCAAAATCTTATTAAGAGTAGAAGTTAAATCTTACTGTAGTCTTGAAATCTGGGTACTGTCTTATGTTTTAAAATCACAAAGGGAGTTTGGTCCCATCAGGGTAACGTGACAGTCACGACTCGTGCAGCTGTAAGGTTTTCTTTTTCTTTTGTTTTTACTCGCGATCTTTACAACACGCATTACATTACGTATTTCATGGCACACTCGTTTTATGCGTATTTGGCGCCACCTATTGTTGTGGGTGTATTATTGACATGTCAAAGTCTAGACCCTGAATATAAGACGAACGCGTTTTTTCAGATGTATTTCCAAGAAAAAAACATCGTCTTATATTCGGGTCAATACGGTAATACAGGTTTGGGACAACATGAGAGTGAGTAAATAATGAGCGATGTGTAATTTTTGGGTGAACTCTCCCTTTAATGAGAAGCAGCAGCATGTTTAGTGCTATTAGTCTGCTGTCACTTTAAGAGCTGCACACATCCGTTTCTCTCTCAACTCTTTACTTTCACTTAAAGGTGCACTAAGTGATTTTTGAAAAACGCTTTTGACCACAGTGTCGGACCGAGTCTTGAAACACACTCGCAGCCAATCAGCAGACCCACCATCGTCGCTGGCAGGGTTGTGTACGTAAGTGTGGGCGGAGTTATCAAAATAGGGGCGAGGTCCTGTTGGGGTCTGCGCGAGTTTGTTTTGGTGCTTTCAAATATCAACATCGTTTGGCAAAAGTCACTCAGTGCACCTTTAAGACATAATCAGCTGTGTTTATATGTAAAGCTTGTGTGTTTTTGACAGTATTAGCGCAATCAGACGCGTCCAGTAATCAGGCGCTGTTTGACAGGATTTTCAGTTCACGCGCTTCAGGTGTACGCACTCAGAATGAGCACATGTCAGAACAGCACACAATAATATTGTTTTGCAGATATATAACCCATATATCTGCAATAACCTATGTTTTGCAGTCTAGGAACAGGTAATCCATGTTTTCAAAGCAGCATTGGATTGGATCGCCCTGATCCAGTGCAGACTTTTCCAGATGATCAAATCCGCATCTTCCATGCTCTAAATAGGACTACATGTCACACTATAGGTTACTAGCTGTGTAAAGATCAACAGGCAGAACAGTCAGCGTTGGGTCATTTTATTCCTTAAGGAACTCATTCATGAGCGTGAGAGTGTTGTGCTCTGATGGCTGATGTGTGCGGCACAGTAGAAAGTCCTGTTGACGTGTTGCGGTCAGTATGTTATTTTGTGCAGAGATGCAGATGTCACGCTTCAGTAAATGTCAGTGCTGTGTGTCCGCAGGCGAGGGCGGTACTGGAGCACGAGTACAGCCGTCTGTTAGCAGCAGGAACGGAGAGGAGACTAGAGGAGGTGAGTTCAGTCCGCTCGTCAGTCTGTGTATCACATCTGAGCGCTTCACATCACAGCCGTTTCTCCACAGGATGATGACAAGAACTTCCGCCGCGCGCCGTCCTGGAGGAAGAAGTTCCGGCCCAAAGACGTGCGCGGAATGAGTGTGAGCTCTGCCGACACGCTGCCTGCTAGCTTCAGAGTTAGCGCTGGAGATGCGTCCTCCGCCGCCCTGCTGACCAAGAAATCACAGCTGGACGGTACGAGTGATTGGCTGTTATCAGTGTGTGTGAGAGAGAGTGTGTGTGTGTGAGAGTGTGAGAGTGTGTGTGAGAGAGAGAGAGAGAGTGTGTGTGTGTG